ACCCTGTCTGGTCTGTACCTTCCCTCGTTCTCTACGAACTTGGTGAGTGGTGCGGACCTACAGGATGCGGGGGTTCACCAGTTCACTCCTGCGAGGCGACGGGTGACCCACTGCACGGACGCAGACACAGGCCGACACCTGGCCACCTTTTCGCGTCGGCCAGGGTCGAGTCTCTACACCCTGACCACTTCGTCTCCTCCTGTCCCTGCGTCTGGTCAGGTAGCTGCGTCAGGTCAGGTGTTTGCTGCTGCTTCCAGGTCAGGTCCTGAGTCTGCCCCCTGTTCTTGTCGCCTCCTGTCTCACGAGACTCTCCTGTGGCACCACCGTCTTGGCCACCCCTCCTTGCCCCGTCTTCGGAGCATGGCTTCCCGTGTCCTTGTCTCTGGTCTTCCCCAGTCTCTCCCTCCTCTCCCCTCCGGGCCAGGACCTTCCTGTGTCCCCTGTGTCGAGGGTCGCCTCCGGGCTACTCCTCACTCCTCCCACTTCCCCCCGACAGAGGCTCCCCTGCAGACGCTTCACATGGATGTGTGGGGCCCAGCCCCCGTCCGTGGGCAGGGTTACGAGCGCTACTTCCTGTTGGTGGTTGACGACTACTCGCGTTACACCACAGTCCTCCCCTTGCGCAGCAAGGGTGCGGTCACTGAGGTGCTGATCGACTGGATCCGCGAGGCTCGTCTCCAGCTCAGGAAGAGCTTCGGCTCGGACTTTCCTGTTCTGCGTCTGCACTCTGACAGAGGCGGAGAGTTCTCTTCTCGCCTTCTGCGAGACTACTGTCGTGCACGGGGGATCCGCCAGACCTTCACGCTTCCGGACTCACCACAGCAAAATGGGATTGCTGAGCGCCGCATTGGCATGGTCATGGATGTCGCTCGTACGTCCATGATGCATGCGGCTGCCCCCCCATTTTCTGTGGCCGTTTGCTGTGAGGTACGCGGCGCATCAGCTCAACCTTCACCCCCGGGTCTCTCGGCCTGCGATGTCCCCAGTCTTGCTGTGGACAGGGAAGGTTGGCGATGCGTCTGTGTTCCGTGTCTGGGGATCTCGGGCGTTTGTCCGCGACTTGTCTGCCGACAAGCTGTCCCCCCGTGCTGCTCCCTGTGTCTTCCTTGGCTTCCCCACTGACGCCCCAGGGTGGCAGTTTTACCACCCCTCCTCTCGTCGTGTTCTGTCCTCCCAGGACGTCACGTTCGACGAGTCAGTCCCCTTCTACCGTCTCTTCCCCTACCGCACTCCTTCCCTCCCCCCTCCCCCGGACTTCCTTGTGCCGGTTCCCCCCCCGGTCGACCCCCTCCCCCCTCAGGTTCCTGCCCCCTCAGGTGTGTCCCAGGTAGACGCCGTTGACCCGGTCGAGGTTACTGGTGACTCTGGTGCTGCTGCGGGTGCTGAGCCTGGGGGTGCTGACTCTGGGGGTGCTGACTCTGGGGGTGCTGGGCCTGGGGGTGCTACTGCGGTGGGTGCGGAGCCTGGGGGTACTGGGCCGGGGGGTGCTGTGCCTGGAGGTGCTGAGTCTGGGGGTGCTGAGCTGGGAGCTGCTGGGCCTGAGGGTACTGAGCTGGGAGCTGCTGAGCCTGGGGGTGCTGCGCCTAGAGTTGCTGAGCCTGGGGTTTCTCCTGCTGCTGCGTCTCGCCGGGAGCCCCTCTCTCCACCGGAGCTGCGCGAGTGGTTCGCTCGCCGCTGGAGGCGTGCTGCTGAGTCTGGAGGTGCTGCTGGAGCTGGAGCTGGAGCTTCTTCGACCGTCGAGGGTGCGGGTGCTGCCGGTCCCGGAGCTGCTGGACCTACTGGTCCTCCTGGAGCTGGAGCTGCTGAGGGCGTTGGTGCTGAGCCTGCTGCTGTTGGACCTGCCGCTGGAGGTGTGGGTGGCGCTGGTGCTGTCGCTGAGGGTGCTGGTACTGTCCCTGCTGAGTCTGGAGCTGCCGCGCGGCCTCGGCCGTACTTCGTTCCGCTCCTGCAGCAGGTTCTTGGTCTTTCTCCTCCTGTAGAGGGTCCACCGCCTGTCCAGTCGCAGTCCCTACTGGAGCCTTCCTCTCCGCTGCCTGCTCCCTCTCCTTACACTGGTCCTACTGGAGGTCTTGCTGAGCGCCGTGAGCCTGCGTCTCGTCCCGCGTCGCCTGTTCGTGCTGCTCGCGCTAGTGGTCGCAGTTCGCGTCAGCGTCCTCCTCCTGTCCCTGGCACGCATCGGATGTCTCTGCGTCCGTCCACTGCTCCTCTGCGTGCCCCTTTGCCTTCTCCTCCTGAGTCCTCTCTTCCTGCGCTTGCCGACCCTGAGTCGGACTCTCTTCGCGCTGCCAGTCCTACTGTCACGCGTCTGCTTGCTACTGTCGTCACTGACCCCTCGTTTGAGTCCACTGCTGCGTCTGCTCTGGTCGCTGAGCTCGTTGACTTTGCTGCTCGCTGTCGTCTCGACTACGCTGCTAGTCTTGTTGCTGAGTCTGTGTCTGGCTGTCCTCTGTCCGTCGGGGGTGAGTGTGCTCTTGGCACGGACGTCCTAGAGGACAGGCAGGAGGAGTTACAGTGTCTAGCGGCTGCTTCACCTCATCTCGCGTCTGTACTGCTTGCCCCTGAGGGAGACCCGGATGCACTAGACATCCCGACTCCGCGTTCTTACGCGGAGGCCGTAGAGGGTCCCTACTCCTCTCAGTGGCAGGCAGCTATGGATGCAGAGATGGCTTCCTGGAAGTCCACAGGCACCTACGTTGACGCAGTTCCCCCTCCTGGGGCGAACATCGTCAGTGGCATGTGGATCTTCAGGGTGAAGCGACCGCCGGGCTCTCCACCTGTCTTCAAGGCACGGTACGTTGCTCGTGGCTTCAGTCAGCGGCAGGGAGTTGATTACTTTCAGACCTTCTCTCCCACCCCGAAGATGACCACTCTTCGGGTGCTGCTGCACATAGCCGCTCAGCGCGACTACGAGCTTCACTCTCTCGACTTCAGCACTGCGTTCCTGCAGGGTAGCCTGCACGAGGAGATCTGGCTGCGCCGTCCGCCTGGCTTCACTGGGACTTTCCCTCCTGGCACCCAGTGGAGCCTCCGACGGCCAGTCTACGGTCTCCGCCAGGCACCGCGTGAGTGGCACGACACACTGAGGACTACGCTTGCGGCTCTTGGGTTTGCTCCTTCTACTGCTGACCCGTCGCTGTTTCTTCGCACCGACGCTTCCCTGCCGCCTTTCTACATCCTCGTGTACGTCGACGACTTGGTCTTTGCCACAGCGGACACTGCTGGACTCGCCTACGTGAAGTCCGAGCTGCTGAAGAGACACACGTGCACAGACCTGGGTGAACTGCGCAGCTACCTTGGCTTGCAGATCACTCGGGACAGAGCACGCCGCACCATCACCTTGACTCAGTCACACATGGTGCAGCAGGTCCTTCAGCGCTTCGGCTTCACGTACTCCTCGCCTCAGGCCACTCCTCTGCCTACTCGCCACTCACTCTCAGCTCTGCCTTCGGATGAGTCCGTAGAGTCGAGTGGTCCGTATGCAGAGCTTGTTGGCTGCCTCATGTACCTGATGACCTGCACACGACCCGACCTCGCATACCCTCTGAGCATCCTTGCACGCTATGTTGCTCCTGGGAGACACCGACCAGAGCACATGGCTGCAGCGAAGAGGGTATTGCGCTACCTGTGCAGTACGTCAGGCATGGGGCTAGTGCTTGGAGGGCGCAGTCCAGTGGTCCTTACAGGCCACGCGGACGCTTCTTGGGCTGACGACCAGGCTACGCAGCGGTCGTCACAGGGTTACGCCTTCAGCCTTGGTTCCGGCTCTGTCTCGTGGCGGTCTACTCGCTCGTCTTCGGTTCTCGGCTCCAGTTGTGAGGCTGAGATCTACGCCGGGGCCATGGCTGCACAGGAGCTTCGCTGGCTCACCTACCTGCTGACTGACCTTGGAGAGCCGCCTTGTTCTCCTCCAGTGCTGTACGTAGACAACAAGGCCATGCTGGCCTTGTGTCGAGAGCAGCGCTTGGAGCACAGAACGAAGCACATTGCTCTCCGCTACTTCCTTGCTCGTGAGCTGCAGCAGCGTGGTCAGTTGCGACTTGCGTACGTGGCCTCTGAGGCCAACACTGCTGATGTGTTCACCAAGGCACTGGGGCCTTGTGACCATCAGCGCTGTTGTACCCAGCTGGGTCTTGTGCCTGTCTTGCCTCACTTGCTCTCTTCTTGACTTTACTTGTACTGTGACATATATATACCTGCTCTTCCTTGTCTTGCTTTATATATATGTGTCTGTACTCTTGCATGTGAACTGCCTTTGGCCTTGCTCTTGTGCTCGGACTGTGTGGTGACTTTGTGATCCACCCCGAGCTTGCTTTGCTTTGCTTGACTGGTCTTGTGACCTCTTGTTCTCCCCCACTTTGCCTATGGGGGTGTGTCAGAACATATAGCTTACCTGTTTGTGTAGGCTACAGTGGGGTATCCCATAAGGGGTACAACACAATTAGGTTTCCCATTTGTACCAATTTCTGACTTAGTCATTTCATTCCTGTCTACCTATCTTCACATATTCCTCTACATGCTTACTGTGAAGGTAACCTGGCAGTTACCACAGGATTGCTTCTGGAGTGGCATGTATGCATGCTTCATCTCAAATTACCGCATGTTGCTCACTGCAAGTACACACGGCCATTCTCTGGTTCTCCTGTACTGCCCGTAGGCCTGCACTCCTTCCTCCCCCACCAGGCATCTTCCTCCCCCACATGCGGGAGGAGCACGACGCGGACACGCTCGTGTCTCTCATGTAAACCCATCAGTCTTTGATCTCTCCCCTCCCTCACTTCCCCCCTTTTTCCACTCTTCCTTCCCTCCCCGCCTCCCGCCAGACAACTTCCTCCCCGCACATGCAGGAGGGGCCAGCAGGATGTGGGTGGCCATGGTCGCCCCAGTCATTCTTTTATCTCCCCTCTCCCCCTCCTCCCCTCCCACTCCACCCCTCTCCAACCTTGCCTCCTCCCTTCCCTCGTGCCTCCCCCGTCACCCCATCACACATCGTCCCACGGCACATGCAGGAGGAGCAGCAGGGGGACACGGTCGTCCCACTCTGTCCTGTCCCCCAGACCCACCCCTCCCTCCACCTCCTGCTCTCCACTAATCCCCCCACCCCCCCCCAACACTCGTGCTCGCACACACGCCGTCAGACATCTTCCTACCGCACATGCAGGAGGAGCAGGAGTGGACACACAGTGAGTCCGCGTGCTCTCACCTTCCCTATTCCCTCACCCCTCCCCCCGTCAGACATCTTCCTACCGCACATGCAGGAGGAGCAGGAGGTGGACACAGTGGTGTCCATCATGTACCCCTTTGAAGGAGACAACCCACCTCCCCCGGTAACCACCTCCCTCCTCTTTCGTTTGCCCTTGGGAGTGAGCTAATTCTGCTCCTCTCCGGAGATTACTCAAAGGACGTTGTGTGGGCATTTGAGCTCTGCACTGATTACTAGCTTTTCTGTGGGTTTTCTTTCTCCTCTCTCTCACAAATCTACTCCCTGCTTCTCTCTGTCATCTTCTTTTTCCCGCCCCTCCCTGCATTGCCCTGTCTCGCACACTCTCTTACACTACCTGTCTTGCATGCTCTTTTACACTCCCCGTCTTGCACGCTCTCTTACGCTCCCTGTCTTGCACACTCTCTTACACTCTCTGTCTCGCACACTCTCTTACACTCTCTGTCTAGCACACTCTCTTACACTCTCTGTCTCGCACACTCTTGCCCACCCCCTGGCAGCTGCTGGCGGAGTATGACTGGGAGATGGACGAGTACGAGGTGAGAGGGTTTCTTTGCACGTGCCTTAGGCTGTGTGTGCGGATGTGGGGGTGGGTGGGTGTTGGGAGGGGAAGGGAGTTGTGGTGTTGGGGGGGAAGAGGCGTGTGGGTGTGTGTGTGAGAGAGAGGGATGGTATGTGAGACTGACCTCGGTGGTGAGGGTGGTATTTACCTCGAATGGTTGTGGAAGACCAGCACCTGCCTTCTCCGTACATTCACCATCCTCCTTCCTCCTCCCTCTTCCCTCCCTCCTCCCTCCTCCCTCCTCCCCCCTCCCTCCACCATCTCGTCCCCTCACTCTCCTCCCGCCACCCCCCTCATTCCACACTCCTCCATCCGTTCCTGCCATGCACAGGAGTTCACAGACAACCTGGTCAAGGACGAGTCGCTACCAGAAGCGGAGAAGGCCAAGTTCATTGTCAGTGCGCCCATCACTCTGCATACCATGCCATACCGTACCGTACCATACCATACTATACCATACCACCATACTGTACTGTACCATACCATACCGTACTGTACCATACCATACCATACCATACCATACCATACCATACCATACCATACCATACCATACCATACCATACCATACCATACCATGCTGTACCGTACCGTACCATGCCATACCATACCATACCATACCATACCATACCATACCATACCATACCATACCATACCATACCATACCATGCCATACCATGCCGTACCATACCATAACATACCCTACTATACCTTGCCGTACCATACCATGCCGTACCGTACCATCTTAGTGTTTGCAACTTGATTTTTTGTGCCACAAATACGTGAAGAAGCAGCTGAAACGGTCCAGGCCTAAACAGACCATCTTCTTTCTCCCATGTTGTTTTCAACTGTTGGTCCTCTCTTCCTTGCCGTTCTCTGTCAACTGTGGGTGCATCGCTGCAGGAGTATGTGAAGAAAGAGGTGAAAGAGGCCAAGCTTAAGGCAAAGAAGGTGAGAAATACATGATGTGTTGGGGTAAGTGGAAAACAACATGATAACTGAATTGACTGGTAATTGATGAACGTAGTAGATGATGAGATGTTCGGTTACCTCAGGCCAACCACGTCTGTCTTGTTTTTGGGTGTTCTGAAGAGGCTGTCAAAGCAGGTCATAACTGCGATGCTGTGTTTCAGCCGAATGGTATGGCTTGGCCTCCGAAGTTCTGTTCGGCTGGGTCTTCTTTGTCTTTTTGAATGCTTGTCGGGACGATGGCGTTCCTGGTCGTTCTATTGACTTCCTCGTCCCTCCCCTGTGGTGCAACCCGCATTCAGCTCACTCGACTTCATTTATCCGTCAACTCAGTCTACTTCATTTCTCCTTCACTTGATTCAACCCATGCTGCTTCAGGAGCGGGAGGAGCGCAAGAAGGCGATAGAGGACATGGGGGAGGAGCGCCTGGAGGCGCTCAAGAACCTCAAATTCCTCAAGTTCTACCCCAAACAGAGTGAAGACACACCCGATATTTCCGAGTTCAAGGTACCGCATATGACTGTCCATGTGGCGTGTCTGCATCACGTGGTCTTTGTCTGCTGATGGTGTTGAGTGCATCACGTTTCTACTAAAAGCTCACGCCGTTGGTGATGTTCAATAAGCTCTTTGAATCTGCTTGTGTCGGAATGTGGACTGTGGTTTTAACTCCCGCCCCAAAAGTATCACCATCTGCTTAGCATGCTTGAATTTTCTCAATATCTGCTTCCGTACCATCCTTTTTATTTCTCCCCCACTTCTTTCTCCTTTGTGGTCGCGTAATGGGTGCTTCGTTGCTTCCACATTTTCCATCTATGCGCAGGCCCGCTACATCAACCGATATTACGGCAAGGCTCATGAAGTTCTATGATTATCAGTACACTTGGATGAGAATATCAACAGATTCAATTTGTCACAGCTGCTTGGCAATCCTACTATTCTGTTACGGTATCCATAACAATTAGAAATCAATTAGTTTATAATAGTTATCTAAAACAAGTGTACCACTATGACTAACGGTTCTTTCATCACGGCCTACAATTATGTTTGCCTCGATGTTGCGCAACGCTTCACTCCGTACCCTACCTAAGACACTCGCCGGGGCCGGCAATTATTGTAGTGGGGTGGGGAAAACTCTCATTCCCGATACTAGATACGGGAGGGAAATGGCGAATCGCGACTCTCCGCCGTCAGCTCACGTAATCTCCAGTGCTTCGCAATTATACAATGCGGGAACGGCGCACCTCCGAGTCGAGATTTCGCCTCGCTGCAGCTTCGAGCGAGTCGCACGCGCCACTGCTTACCGCCTGCACCGGCAAGCCATGACGACGGGTCTTTCCCAATCCATAATTACGGGCTCTCAGCGTGACTATAAAGTGGGTACTTCGAGTCCCTAGAAAATCATTCAGCGACAATCCGCCTTTTACTCTCCAAGCAATCCACCTGCTTCCTCCCGCAATTCGAGTTGTTAACTCTCTTTCGAATCATGGTCTTCACTTCGCCTCGCCGCGTCTTATTCCTAGGTGAGCGTTATTAGTACCCCTGTACTGCCAATGCGTGCCGAGCTCAAAACTTGCTGGCTGCTTGCTGACCCGTGCAACGTGCACTGGCTCTACGCTTCGAAATTTCAGGGATTCGATTCGTTATGGATGATGACATATACAATCATTCTGATTTACGCATTTCCGTGCATGCTAACCTGATTGCGTGCTTCTTTCGCATGTGTTTCCCTCACGTGTGTTTCCGTGCGTGCAGCATTCGTCGCGGTGCTGGTGGCCGTTGTCTACGCAGACCACGACGACCCGGAATTAACCAGTCAGTGCCACTTTATCAGTGTATTTGCGCAGTGCTTCGCGCTTCCCCATTCCCACCATCGCCCTTCTCGTCCCTTCACAATTTCCTTTCACCTTTCGTCCTGGTTTTGAATTCCCAAAATTCAATCTTTAACTCAACCTCCTGCTCGTTCTCACCCCAACAGACACCTTCACGGCGAAGCTGATTGGCGCCAACGAGGTTCCCAAGAATGACTCCGAAGCTGCCAGGAAGGCCGTAGGTGACAAAAGCGGCGTGGTGCAAATGAAGCTCGACTTCTACAAGTAAGCTCGCCACGCCACGCCTTGCATTGCATCTGTGATGCGACACGTGAGCCCATTTCTCCAAGAGCACATTTTCTTTCCAATTTCAAAGCCGAGAACACATGGGCTCCAATCCCTGCCGCTCTCTCCTGCGATATATAGCAGCGGTTTCTAACTCCCTTTTTCACTCCCTTGACACACCTGGTGCCATGTGTGATCAGGAAGGAGGGCAACCTGATGTGGGTGGAGTACTCAGTGAAGGCGTCGAAGTTGGAGGGCGAGATGCCGCCCACCAAGACGCACATCCACCCGGGGAAGAAGGGCGAGAACAACCCCGTGCTGCTGGACCTGCCCTGCAAGTACAAGCAGACCAGCGCCTCCGAGTGGCTCTGTGAGGGCGCCATGTGGGAGGACAAGTGGCTCTCGAAATCGGAGGTGGCGATTTTCACCAAGATCGGAAAGCACCCCACAGCGTTCTACGGGAATATCCACACCAAGAAGTACCCCGATGGCGCCGTGCGTGGCCAGTTCTCCAGGAAGTAACGGGTCAGTTGGTCGGATCAACTTGATCCCCACCCTTGGTCAGAGCTGGAGATTAGAGAATGAGGACAATGTACAAGTGAAGAGCCGTAAATAAAGATTCTGGGGGTGCACTATGGGAGGGAGTGAAGGTGCTCCCTTTCCTTAGGCAGTGCTTTTGGTCACCCCAGTTATCAGAATAAGCTAAGCCCTTGTCCATTGCTTGCTTGGTTCTACACTGCACTGCACTTGCTATGTTATGGAAATCTGAATTCCATATGTCCATACACACTCTACCTCATACGGGTAGTATTACTTTCTACTTCGTCTATTAATTTGCTACTCAAGCAAGAGAATCTATATACGATATACAAAACTTCACATCACATTCATCCAATCGTAATGCTGGTTATAAAACAGAATGCTGGAAGTAGTACGGTATAATTTATATACAATCCGTAGAAAATATATGAAGGCAAAGATTCAATGTATGTAGCAGTATGACACCATTCCCGAGTCGCCAGCACTGGGAATGTGACACATTCAAAATGTCCTTCAACTGAATTCAAAGCTTCTGGAGTCGCGTTTTCCCTGGACAACTAATCGTGCGGCTTTCGCGTAAAGCTTGCGTCGTCGTGAATCATCAAGCTTCGCCGCATGGTCAGCGGGAAGCCTTTTCGTGAAGGTGGTTGTGTGCAGAGTGGACAAGCTGATAGGAAAGGTGAGCCGCGTCTCACGACGAAGGGCAACTCATTGACGACATTCATTGGACCAGCCCAACCTCAGCGAAACACCGAGCACGGCCAAATGTCATATGCCCTCAGTCGCATGGACCCCGTAGCCGACTTTCGTCGTCGTCCTGCGACGATTGCAGTCACGGATGTGGGTTTCGAGGGCGCGCATCGGAGCATTCGAGGTTGCGGATAGCGTTGCGGAAAATCGAGCGTCAAGCCGGCCCCACACGAGCTACCGTCTTAGGTTTCTACAATATCGCAGTTTTCACTTACCAACACATATCAAACCTGTCATCCTGTCACGGTGTACTAAGCTTAGCAGCGTGATGTTCGAAGAACACATCGGTAATAACCTCGAATCGAGCGGCAGATTCTCCGTCGTTGCTCGTCATTGCTGAGACTGTCACTAACCTTATGCCGCGGGTCGCCATGCATATACTTAATTTGGCCACTGTGACTGATACCAAGTGCTGATGGCGCCAAACCACTCTCGACTCCGCATCTCTTCATGGCTTTACCAGCTCACGTACTGCCGCTTCTCGCATGCGCGTTGCTCGCCACTTCAGCAGCAGCCATAGAATTCAGTTCCTCTCTATTCTCTGAATCAGCCAGACCAAATAAAGCGGATAACGGAGCGCCGAATTCTAAAAATCAGGATCACCGAAACCGGTTGTACATACCTGAACATCTTTCCGGGCCTCCCGGAAGCAAGCATCTCCAGCCCTTAGCTTTTCCTTTGACGCACAAATTCAAATTCGGAGCACATCATGGAAAGGCGCGCAGCGGGCTCGTTACCGTGCGGTGGGAGGCGCACATGGCGGCCGTGCAGCGCGACTTGCGGCGCGTCCGACGCGGGAACAGGCGGCTGCAGAGCGGCGACGACGAGGAGGAGGTCGTGTTCGGACTCGTCGGCAACGCGGACCCGCAGATAGCAGGGTGAGCGTCCCATTCGATTCTTCTCTGGTTCGCATTTTGACTCCCCATCCCCCCCATTCTTTCCCCCCTCCTTTCCAGCCTCCGTTTCGCGTCCTTGGCATTGGGATTGCTGCCACAGCAGTTCAACGAGCAGAACGGCACGGGCAACGCTGCTCCATGTGCGATTCACAGGCGACTAAAAGGTTCACCCATCTCCCCTCCACCTCTACCCCTTCCGCCCCTTCGCTCTCTCCCCCCTCCCCCCCCTCCCCCCTCTCCTCCCAGTCTGTACTTTGCGTCGGTGGCGTTGGGCTCCCCCCCGCAGTTGTTCAACGTGCAGGTGGACACGGGCAGCGACTTGCTCTGGGTTGCGTGCCAGCCGTGCCTCAAATGCGCCACGCGCTCGCAAGTCGCGGTGAGAGTCGCGCACGGGCTCGTTATAGTGATTGCCGTTAAAGAGCGCTCGGTGGTTGCGTTTGAAAAAAAAAAAAAAAAATCCGATTTACCACCACTGTCAATCCGTTCCCTGTCTCCGTCTCATTACTCGACGCCTTGCCATTCCCCCTCATCCCATTTCGAGCCGAATCACGACAGCGTGCGCCTTGATCGTGCTTCTTGAAAGTAAATGCTGAACAGCACGCCATTGAGAAGCCACTACACGCCAATACCCGATAATCGAAACACTTGTAAAAATTATAATCCACACGTGCACGCGCGTTTCCTCGCAATTTCCCTCTCCCCATATTTTCCCTCTCATTCCCCTTCAACCGTACCAATCCCTCCCTTCCCCCTTCCTCTCCTCCCTCCTCACTCTCTACTTCCACATCTCCGCCTCGCTGCCCTTCCCCAGCCGTTGAGCCCGCCGTTCAACGCGTCGCAATCCTCCTCCAATCACCTCCTCCCGTGCGCGACGCGACAGTGTCCGCGCTACCACCTCTCCGACAACGTCCTGCGCGGCTGCCCGTCGCCGGCTGTCGCGACGGCGGCCGCCGTGCCGGCCTCCACGTGTCTGTACATGCTGCGCTACGCGGACGGCAGCGCGTCGGTCGGCGTGCTCATGCGCGACGTGCTGCACCTGCCGTGGACACCCAGCGAGCAACCCGTGGGACCCGGGGGGGGTGGGACAGGAGAAAGTGGGCCCGAGGGGAATGGGAGAAGCGGGGACTTACCGTCGACCGCCAGCGAGCCCTTGGGAGGGGGAGGGGGGGGAGTGGCTGGGGTGGCGAGGACGAGTGGTAACCAGGTGCCTGGCGAGAGTAACGAGAGTAGCGAGAGTAGTAACCTCAACATTGTGGAGCCGCGGAGAATTGGGCAGGAAGTGGCGGCTCAACGCGCGGCCCCAGCGAGCGGTGGCGGCGGGGCTGTTGATAACGCGGATGAAGGACAGAGAAGCAGCACGGCTGCTTATAGCGGGGATGAAACTCAGGGAAGCAGCGCGAACGCGTCCGCGAACGGCACCAAGTACCGGCCGGTCGTGACGTTCGGGTGCGGGTTCAACCAGTCCGGCAATCTTTTAGACGGCCCGCTGACGGTCGACGGCGTGATGGGGCTGGGCCGTGGCGCGTCGTCGCTGCTGGCGCAGCTCGGCGCGCAGCACGCGCTGCCGCACGCGTTCGCGCACTGCCTGGGCGGGCCGGAGGGCGGCGGCGCGCTTTTTCTCGGGCGCGTGTCGTCCGCGGGCGCGCTGAGCGGCGTGCGGGGCGTGTGGCAGCAAACGGCGCTGTGGGACAAACCCGACAGGTATGCCCCTCGTTCTGAAGGCCGTGCGGTTCGTGCGGGTGGGGGGCGTGGTGGGGGGTGGGGGGTGTGCGGGGCGTGCAGCAGACGGAGCTGTGGGACAAACCCGACGGGTGGCCGCCTGGTCTCGGCTTCTCACTCTCACCCACTCACACTCTCACCCACTCTCACTCTCCCACTCACACTCTCACCCATTCTCACTCTCTCCCGCTCTCTGCCTGCTACTCGTGTCCTCCCCTTCTTTCTCTCTCCCCTCGCTCTCATCGCATCCACCATGCCGCCCTACTCCAGCCCTGCCACTCGTGCATTCCCCCTTGTGAGCGATCTCTGAGAATAAAAACACAATCACTCTGTTCCTGCTCTACCCTCGCCCCCCCACCTCCCCTTCCCTCCGCACCGCAGCACGAAGTTCAGAATTCGACTTGGCTGGCATCGCCATCGCTGGTGGCCCCATCGCCTGGCAACCCGTCCCGCTCGACCCCTGCGAACCGTACACGATCCCTCCATCTCCACCGGTCGCGCATCACCCTCTCGCCCTTCCCCTCCGTTTTTCCCTCCCTCCTTCCCCCCCCTCCCCCTCCCCCTCCCCCCCCCCTCCCCCTCCCCCTCCACTTCCCCCTCCCCCTCCACTTCCCCCTCCCCCTCCCCCTCCCCCTCCCGGTCACGGCAGCACGCAGTGCATGATCGCCCTGGCAGGCATAGCCATCGCTGGTGTGCCCATCTCCCGCCCTCTGTCTGCTACTCCTTTCCCCCCCTTCTCTCTTTCTCCCGCCACATCGCATCATCCATGCCACCCTACTCCATCCCTGGCCCTTGGTGGAATCTAAAAGAGTGTGTGCATGCCCCTTTTGAGCGATTTCTGAGAATCTAATGAATTCACCCAACCTGCATCACCTCCCTCCCTCTTCCCCGCCCTCCTCCCCTCCCCTCCTCCACTCCCCCTCCCATTGCAGCACGGGTATGCAATCGGCCATCGTATCTTATCACCCGAGCCGGTTATGTGGCTGATGCATCCATGTACGTAATCGGACATCTCCTGGCAACTGTCCCCTCCCTTTCCCTCCACTCCCCTCCTCCCCTCCCCTCCTCCACTCCCCCCTACCATTGCAGCACGCACGCGTACGCAATCGGCTGGGCAATTCATCGTCATCCCCTGGCAGCTGTCTCCTCCATCCCCTCGGCACCCGTATCACCCTCTCTCCCTTCCTCTCCCCTTTCCCCTCCGCTCTCTCCCCCGTCTCGCATTGCAGCACACAATACATGATCGGCCTGGCAGGCATCGCCGTCGCTGGTGTGCCCATTGCGTGGCAACCCACAGTCGTCGCTGCCATCCCTTCTTCTGCCGCTGCTGCTGCTGCTGCCGCCCAAACCACCTCCTCGCTTGCTGCGCCAGCAGGCAATGCCACAGGCTCGGCAGCGGCAGGGATGGTGCCGTGCGTGTTGGACAGCGGCACATCGCTCACATACCTGCCGGACGCGCTCTACCAAACACTTACTGCTGCCGTGAGTGCCGTCCCCCCTCCATCCAGTGCCGTCCCCCCTCCATCCAGTGCCCCCCCCCCCCTCCATCCAGTGCCCCCCCCCCCCCCCCCCCCCTCCATCCAGTGCCCCCCCCCCCCCCCCCCCCCCTCCATCCAGTCCCCCCCCCCCTCCATCCAGTCCCCCCCCCCCTCCATCCAGTCCCCCCCCCCCCCTCCATCCAGTGCCCCCCCCCCCTCCATCCAGTACCAGTAGAGAGATGGACGCGCGCCGTGCGTCCTTGCTCTGCGACTTGCAGGTTGACTCGGAATCGTTTGAGAATCCTCAGAATGAACAACTGTGCACCACTGCACCATGGCTGCTCCCTCTGTGGGCACTGCTTGCCTGCTCACTCATCGCCTCGACGCTCTTCCTTCCCCCTACCCCCGATGCCTTCTCCCCTTCCTCCTGCCCCCTTGCCTTTTTCCCCGCCCCCTTACCTTGCCCCTTTCCCCGCCCCCTTACCTTGCCTTTTTCCCCGCCCCCTTACCTTGCCTTTTTCCCTGCCCCCTTACCTTGCCTCTTTCCCCGCCCCCTTACCTTGCCTCTTTCCACGCCCCCTTACCTTGCCTCTTTCCACGCCCCCTTACCTTGCCTCTTTCCACGCCCCCTTACCTTGCCTCTTTCCCCGCCCCCTTCCCCCCATGCCCCCCCCCCCCCCGACCCTTTACCGTTCCGCCAGTTGGTGCAAGCCATGGTCGTGCCGCTACTAGCCTTCGCCTTCTGAAGCGTTTTGAAGACCAACCCGCTTCCCTCTAACCCCTTCCCTTCCCACCCTCTTGCCCCGTTCCGCCCGTCCCCCCGCCAGCTGGTGCAAGCCATCGACTTGCCGCTGCTCGCCTTCGCGCAGACAGAGGGCCACTTCTGCTACAACCTGGGCGACGGCCGGTGCGCTACAGCCCTCTCTGCCACACTCCTTCCCAGCCCTTTTCGCTCTCTCCTCCTTTTTCTGCTCCCTTCCCTCCCACCGATCATTGTTTACCCCGCCAATCCCCCCCCATCCTTCCCTCCATGTCTCCCAACGTTACCATCGTCCCTCGCCCTCACCACACGCACTCTCCCTCGTGTTGCGCCTCTCTATCCGCAGGCTCCCCTGGCCCCGCGCGCGCTACCTGTTCCCGGACCTGACTCTGACGTTCGGCACTGGGGCTCGCATGGTGCTGCCGCCCGAAAACTACATCCTGCTGCTCGCCACCACTGCTGTACGCTCGGGACTGGGTGGAGTGCGGTGGGGTGCGGTGGGATGGGATGCCATCCATGCCATGTGTTGCCATGCCCGCTCATCTCCCCCATCCGCTCCCACATGGCCCAGGCATGCATGAAGCACTCCTCCCACCACCCACCCTCTTCCACTCCTTCACCCTTCGCTCCCTCTCATCCCCTCCCACAACCCCCCTCTTTTTCCCCCTGTTGTGCAACACCTTGAAATACACCCGACGACCCCTCTTTCCCCCCCCGCCCTCTCTTCCCAATACCCCTCCGCCCGCCCATTCTCCCCCGCATCACCCGTCTTATCCCGCGCCCCCCCTTTCCCCCTCCAGGGCTTCGAGGCGCGCTGCACTGCGTGGTTGTGAGACGTCTCAGAGCGCCGGCCCCGACTCCTCCCTCGCCCCTCCGCCCGCTCATTCCCCTCCTGTCAACCCTCACCCCTTTTCTCCTCCCCCTCCAGGGCTTCGAGGTGCCATGCATTGCGTGGCAGAGCGCCGGCCCCGACTCCTCCCTCGCTGTGCTGGGCGGTGAGTGGACGTCGGTGAGGGAGGCGGGTGCAATGGAAGCGGGGAGGGGAGACAGGAGAGGGGAGGGGGTGGGAGGAGGGGTCGGGTGGGAAGGGAGGAGAAATTATGGGGAGCGGGGAGGAGGGAGGCGAGGATGGAGACATCAGAGGCGAGCGTGGGTGGAGAGGGATGGGATGGATGGGAGGTGATGTGAGGGGCTGGGGATGACAGGAGAGGTGGGAGATGAGGGGAGGGGAGCAAAAGATTAAGTGGAGAGAATGGATGGAATTCTTCCATACTATATATGGCCACATCTGTCCCGTTTCTGTTTTGTAATTCTGTTTCTGTTGTATACTTCTACTGTACTGCACTAGTCCGTACGAATTCCTCTGGCAAAGGCTTGGCGAATGAGATCCTGGGTGACACGTTTCTGTTCACCTGGTCCCTCCCCATCTCACCAGTGTCTCAAAGTTCACCCCAAACTCTCACCAACTTCACCCTATTTTTATTTCTTCTCGCTCTGCTTCCCCCACCCCCTGTAGACCTAGCGCTGCGCAATCTGCTGGTGGAGTTTGACGTGGAGGCCAACACCGTTCGCTGGCTGCCCTCCCAGTGTGAGCTCTCCGCTCCCCTCCCACTGTGGCCTCACCCCGAGTAACCCGTCAATTGAGCCTGACACGTTGATTTAAAACGCGACAGCTTTTTCCAGCTCTCTGACATGCCTCGCATAGTGGGGGTACACCCTTTTGAAGGTTTGGGCTGTGGGTTTGTGTTTCGGTTCTCCCTGCCCCACCATGCCATCATACCCCTGTGCACCGCACTCTACAGCATCCCAACCGCAATGTTCAAGGCACCACACCACCTGGCATTCATTGGACCCCACCTTGGCCCTGTGCAGCACCACCCAGCTTGCGCTGCTTGCACCTTCTCCCACATCTTCTTGAGACTATCAGCTTGTGCAAGTCCCACTACTATGCCCCACTCCTTTCCCCTACATGGCCCCACCCATCTCATGTATGTACACTTACCTCCCTACCACCTATCCCCCTCCCCGATCACCTGCCGTGCTGCAGGCTCCCAGATCCTGCACGCTGCACAGACCACAGACCCCATTGATGCTGCTGCTGCCGCAGCAGACACAGCAGCAGCAGCTGCAGAAGCCTTCCCGGAGAGCTCTGATTGGCTCGCCTCTCTCATCCCGGGCCTGGCTGGAAGCGCCAACAGAGTCAACCCGAACCAAGGAGGCCTGTTACCGGACCTGAATGTCCCAGGCGCCAATCTTCCCTCACAAAACGCAGCACAAAGTGGGGGATCGAATGGCGTAAACCCCTCTTTGAATCCTGCCGCAAACGGTTTGTCTGGTAATGATCCAAATGGCAATGGCGGCCTGTTGAACTTGATGGATGGTGGGTCCGGTGCGGGTGGCAGGGCGCCGCTTGTGCTTCCATACAGTGCTGCCTCGTCATTTATGGGTCGTATAGGGGTTGTAGCTGTGTTGGTGCGTCTGCTGCTGGCAGTCGCTTGTGCTATATTGCTCGCCCCTTGACGACCTTTCAATAAGGTGTTGCCTAATGCCATGGCAGTGCATTTTGCTGTGAATAAGTGCAAAGTCTTCGTTCGATTTTCAAGCATCCCAAAATAGAAGAGCTGAGGTGATTGGAATGGCCATAGCCATGTGACCTAACAAAACACACCTAAAGTGGGTAAGGATTAGATCAGCTTGTAACAGGTTTTAGGCTGACAATTCGAACTGGCCGGTTCTTATAAAACTCGTTACAGCCCACTACAGTTCGCGAGGCCCATCAATTCGCACAGATCCGACGGTCCCCTTCATTCGTATGACAGTGCAGCCGAAAAGCGGAGGCGATCCGTTGACACACTTCTGACACATCTTGGAGATTCATAGGGGCCGAGGAGGAATCGATGGATGGCGGTGGGGGACCACCTTGAGATTTCCACCACCATGGGAATTTCCGCAGCAGAAGTCAGAATCTGCGGAGCGCACGGCACGGCGGTCTTTCGGAGCACTGGGAGCTCTCTGCCGCTCATAACCGTCCGTGGGGCCTTGCGGCGTGAACTCGCTGCTCGCTCCCTGCATCTAAATACAGCGGACCAAACAAGTAGAGACATGCTGCAGGAAGTCTATGTACCACCAGTTCAATCAGGTCTCGGATAACTCTCTACGCTCATACAGAGTCATTCAGGCCAGAGACATGCGTACTTTTGGGTCGACCAACTCGCGACCGTGACAGCGGGAAACCCTCGCATTGTCAGTAACGAAGTCCTTATGATACGTATCTTTCAATAGAAACGTCCCGCGCGTGCCAGCACATGGCGGTGAGGTTCCGACCTCGTCTGTGGCGCAGACGCGGTAGCGGCGAAAGAGCATCCGGAGACTCGTCCACGGATGCTCTCGCGCCGGCGGAAGCCAGACTAATAGGCGGCGAAGCAGACACGAAGCTTCGCGACGAGAAGTCTGCGGCGAGGGCGCGGTCGCTGCGCCTGTGGGGGCTGGTGCTGCTCGCGGGAGTCACCATCGGCGCGCTCTCATGGCTTCTCGCTACCGTCATTGTCGAATTCTTCGAAGTCCTCTACGCTCTCAACGACACGCTCTTAGGCGCGCACGCCACGGCGCGCGTTCCCTTCTCCCGCGTGTTCGTCGCGTCGCTCCTCATGGCCCTCGTCCAAGCCGCGCTCGTCGGCCTGGCGGCCGTTCTAACGGTCAACGTCGCGCCGCTCGCGAACGGCTCGGGCGTCCCCGAGATAAAGGGATTCCTTAACGGAAACAGCATACCAGGGTTCTTTGAGCTGCGCACAACAGTCGTCAAGTTTCTCGGGCTGCTGCTCGTCGTCGCGGCGGGCATGCCCGTCGGCCGCGAGGGGCCCATGGCGCACATCGGCGCGGGGATCGCCGTTGCGCTCGTGCACCTCCCGCTCATCGGCCTGCACGCGCACGCGAGCGCGCGCGGAAAGAAGCGTGTGGATAGCAAGCCGCGGAGAGAAACAGGCCGCGCGCGCGGGGGAAAGTCCAGCGCGAGCAGCGGCAGCGGGGGGCATCACGGCGGCGCGGCGGTGGCGTGGATGGACCGCGACGAGCAGCGCGCGTTCGTGACGTACGGCGGCGCAGCGGGCGTGGCAGCGGCGTTCAAAGCACCAATCGGCGGAGTGCTGTTCATGTTCGAAGAGGTCTCCTCTTTCTGGTCCACCGAAGCCACCTTCAAATCGTTCGTCTCCGCCACTATAAGCACACTCGTTATAGTCCTCCTCGTCGAGGCCATGGCCGGTATAGTCACATACGAAGCCTTCCTTTTATTCGTCCTAAACCCAGTTACCATATCCTGGACGGCCAAGGACGTAGGACCATTCCTCGTGCTAGGCGTTGTAGGAGGGCTGCTCAGTCGCCTTTACACTGTACTGTCGCTCAAGGTGCTGAGAGCGAGACGGACGGAGACGTGGAGGCGGCGCAAAGCTGTGAAGATTATAGATGCGGCTGTGAGTGCGCTGGTGGTGTCACTGCTGTTCCACCTCCTCCCAGCCATGTCGCCCTGCATCTCCCTCCCTCCTCCCACTGCCTCCGCTCCTGCTGCCCCCCCTGCGTCTCACTCCAGTGCCACGTCCACTGCACACGTGTCACTTTCTCCAACGTGGCATGCTGCTGAGTTAGCAAGCACATCTGCCGCACCGGTGAAACCGAGAGCATCGGCATCACTAGGAGTGTTGGTCCCTCGGGTCAAAGCAGCAAGCGCATCAGCAGCAGCGGCAGGCAGCACAGTTGAAGCAACAGCGCCACCAGCAGCACCCGAAGCACCAGCAGCACCAGCAGCACCAGCAGAAACAGTAGCACCAGAGACACCAGCAGAAACAACAGCACCAGAGACACCACCAACAGCAGCAGCAAGTGGCAGCACGGAGGCAGGGGGACACAGTGGAGCAACGGAGGGGCACGGAGAGGGAGCAGGGGAGGGGCATGTGGTGTTGGTGCAGTACGACTGCCCTGCCGGGCACTACAACGAGCTCGCCACACTGCTGCTGCGCGGGGAGGAGGGCGCCGTCAAGCACCTCATGGGCGACACTGCCAGCACCACCGCCACCGGGGAGGCCATCACCGCACGGGTCTTCCCAGCAGGCGTGGTGGGCGTGTTCCTCATCGCCTACTCGCTGCTAGCGGCGTCCATATCAGGCCTGGCGGTGCCCAGCGGGCAGTTCATCCCCCAGCTGCTCTACGGGGCGGCACTGGGGCGGCTGTACGGCATGGCGCTGCATGCTGCGCTGCCGGAGCAGTTTGCGCAGCCCAGCATCTATGCGCACGTGGGGTCTGCTGCGTGCCTGGCGGGGTACACCCACCTCACCATCTCGCTTGCTGTGAGTGCTGCGGGCGGTAGTGCACTGGTGTGAGTGCCAGAGATGCTCTGATGGTGCGGTAGTGCACTGGCTGTGAATGCTGTGCGGTGCTGTGCCAGGAGTGATCGGCTCCGAGTGCAATGCGGCTATCTTTCTGCATCATGCACCAATGCCGGTGACACTTCTTACTCGAGGGCGTGTGTGCGTGCGTGCGTGTGTGTGTGTGCGTGCGTGTGCATACGTGCCTGCATGTGTGTGAGCAGGTGATGCTAATGGAGGCATCAGGAGACATCAGCCTTCTGCTTCCCATCCTCTGTGGGTATGTGCACCCATCTCTAGACACGCACCGCTATGTACCGTGTAGCACCTTGTATGACACATTCACAATGTATGACACATTCACAATGTATGACACATTCACAATGGACACATATACAATGCAAGACGCATTCACAACGCATGACACATTCACATTGTCTTTCCAAGCAGCCACCGCATTCCGAGGTCATGTTATTGCCTTGAAGTAGTCTCCCTCCTGATCCCGATCCACATTGTCGTTTCCACATCCTTACTATCAAAAATTTTATTTCCCGGATTTTCATTCTCCACATCGTCCCTCACACCATCCCAGCATAGGGGTGGCCAAGGCAGTGGCGCAGCTGTTAGGCCGCAGCTACGACGAGGTGCTGCTGTCAATCAAGAAGATTCCTTTCCTTCAAGACAAGCCCCACGCGCGCCACCAGGGCTTGCTGGCGCGGCACCTCATGGACCGCCACGTGGCACAGCTGCGGGAGATGGAGACGCCGTCGCTTGTGCGGGCGGCATTGATCGGCTGCTTGTCGCCGGCGCTGATGGTGGTGGATGTGGAGGGCGGGCTGAAAGGGGTGGTCAGTCGGACCAGGCTGCTTGCTCTGCTCGCTGCTCATAACCACACCTGTGATGCTGCTGCCGCCGCTGCCGCCGCTGCCGCTGCCGCCACCGCTGCTGGTGCGGCTGCTTCTGGTGCTGGTGGTGGTGGTGGTGCTGGGGTTGGTGATAGTCGTGGTTCGTTGTGTGCGGCTGTCGCTGCCGTAGGCCCTGCTGGTGCTGCAGGTGGTGGGGGGGGCAGACTGGCACGACTGGGATGGATGGTAGGGTTGCGGCTGAGTGCTGTGATGAAGCAGGCTCCGTGGACTAAGGGAGCGAGAGTGGGGATGGAGGAAGGGGGTGATGCGAGGATGGAGGAGGGGAGGAGGGCGGGCGGAGAGGAGGAGGCGAAGGGCAAAGGGAAGGAAGAGGGGGGAGAGGAAGAAGAGGAGAGGGAAGAGGAGGAGGAAGAGGAGGAAGGTGAGGAGCACGAGTGGGAGACAGAGGCGCAGCGGCGCGTGAGGAGAGAGAGACGAAGAGGCCACCGGTACACAGAGGAACTTGCTCAGAAGCTTCTGACGTGCCACAACGACAGTGAGACGGGCGAGGAGAGGCGGATGAGGGAGATGGTGCGGAGGGAGGGCGAGGAGCGGCTGTTGGACCGCACTCTGCTGGCCATGGAGACCAATGCCAGGCTGGCGGACCAGCAGTGGGCGGCAGAAGACGCGCTCTGGGCGGCTGCGCCGTCTTTGCACAGCGCTCCTGCTGTCACTGCCACTGCTGGGGCTGCTGGTGGCAGTGCTGCTGCTTTCTCGGCTGCTGAGTCTGTGCAACGAGGCGGCGTGGGTGGTCAGGTGGAGCATGCGTTTAGTACTGATGTGTATCGTGGGCGTGGGCATGGGTATGGGTATGGGCATGACTATGGTCATGAGTTCGGGCATGGGCATGGGCATGGGCATGGGCATGGGCATGGGCAGATTGCAGGAGCCCCCGCAGGCAGTGCTGATGGCAGGAGGTGGCAGCTGGGCAGTGCTGGCAGCCACAGCCCTCTTCCCCCTCGCCCGCCTGTTTTCGTTGCCTCCCCTCCCGCGCCTGCGCCTGCTGCTGCTGTTGCCGTTGCTGCACCATATGCTCCAGCGCCTGTGCCGGCTGCTGCTGCTGCTGATACCGCGGCTGATGCTTGTGCCACATCGACGCAGAACGAGCTTGAGGAGGGATGGAGGAAAAGTTTTGAAGTTGGAGGAGGGGGAAAAGAGACACAGGACGCCAGGGAGAGGGTAGATGGGGAGGAGAGGGAGTTGGGGGGCGCGGAGAGCAGCATTAGGGCAGAAAGGCCGGTGGTGGGAGGGGAGGAGGCGGAGAGCAGCAGGGGGGCGGTGGGAGCGGTGGTGGGAGGGGGCGAGGCGGAGGTGCTATTAGATGTGACGGCCATCATGGACCCCTTCCCCTTCCACGTGCCCCTCTGCATGCCCATCCTCCGCGTCTTCCCCCTCATGCGCAAGGTGAGGCTCATGGGCCTCGAGTTAAGTTGCACGTGCCATCAGGTGACCCACTTGCGAGTGATCTGCTGTGCCGTTTGAGTTCAGCTCTGCCAGGCCCCTGATTGCTCCCTCTTCAAACTCATGCAAGGCTGTATGATTTCCCTGGCAGGCGCCGCATTGCACCTTCCCTTCCTCATCCGCCCCCTTCCTCTCTATCCACCCCTACCCGCAGCTCAACCTGACGTACGTGTGTGTGGTGGACAGCACAGGCCAGCCGGTGAGACTCCATTCACCTGCAGTGCCATACACCATGCCATGCCATCTGTCACCAGCCATGCCATGCCATGCCATCTGTCACCAGCCATGCCATGCCATGCCATCTGTCACCAGCCATGCCATGCCATCTACCACCAGCCATTCATCGCAATTTTATTCATCATGCAAAACAGCCTCCACTCCCCTTCCTGCATCAGTGAACGGCAGCGTCACCACAGTAATCCTTTGCATCCCATCGCATCCCATCCCATCCCATCCCATCGCATCCCATCCCATCCCATCCCATCCCATCCCATGCCATCCCATGCCATTCCATGCCATGCCACCCTATGCCATGCCAGACCCTCTGTGGTGTGGTTTTGCAGTACCTGCACGCTTATACACACACGCACTCCCACCTCTCCCCCCATTTCCCTCCCCTCTCCTCCCTTGCCCCCATCTCATCTCATGCAGGCGGGGCTAATAACCTGAGCGCACCTGATAGACGCCAAGCCAGTGCACGCCAGCGTCACCAAAATTGCACTTCCCCATGCTCTCATGCCATGCTGTCCCGTGCCATCATGTGCAAACCCTCACACCCCGATTTCCCCCCCTCCACCCCGTTCTCCCCTCTACCCCTCCATTGCAGGCGGGGCTAATAACCCGAGCCCACCTGATAGACGCCAAGCCAGTGCACGCCAGCGTCACCACGTGGGGTCACTTCGGCCTGCCCTCCTTCCGCCTCTCCCGCTGCTTCTCCTCCTCCCGCCCCTCTGTCGCCTCCCTCACCCCAGAAGCCACCCAAGCCGCCCGCGACCGTGCCGCCCGCATCCTTGCAGCTCTAGACCCAGATGCTCTGGCAATGGGGGATACGGTGCAGCAGCAGGCAGAGGCGACTGAGAGGGTGAATCTGGCGTCCATGCTGGCTGCTATGGACTCTGTACGGCACTTGTACCTGCAACCAGGCTCCGAGCATGATTCTGGGAGGATGGCAGGACATGGGGAGGGGATGAATGGGCAGGAGGGGAGTGGTGTGGAGGGGGGAGTGGACGGGGAGGAGGGAGGGAAGGGGAGGGAGCGAGGGGAGAGGGAGCGGGGGGAGAGGCGAGGGGCGAGGGAGGGGCAGCGGAGGTGGGCAGGGAGGGTGTCTCCGAGGGAGAGGTGGAGGAAGGCGGTGAGGCTGGTGCTGGAGAGCCTGCGAGCCCAGGCTGCAGCGGCTGCCCTGGCTGCTGCCGCCCGCTCCAATCGTCTCGCTCTGCTGCCCGCTGCTGCTGGTGCTGGTGCTGTTGCTGTTTCGGGCAGTCGGAGGGATGGTGGTGATGCTGCAGGAGCGAGGGAAGCAGGTGGAGGAGGCGGGTCAGAGCGCAAGGGAGGGAAGGACGTGGAAGGAATGGGGAAGCAGGAGAAAGCAGGTGAAGAGAGAAGAGGGCCGCCGGCAAAGCATGTGCATTGGGGGGAGGAGGGGATGGGAGGGAGGGTGGGCCCGAGCATAGGTGATGATGGTGGGATGGGTGGGGATGAAGGTGCGGAAGGGGACGTGCTGGTTGTGAGGGAGGATGCAGGCGAGGGAGAGGAGGAGCGGGAGTGAGGGCAGGGTGGGAAGCAGATGGTGGAGAGCAGAGGCGTTTCTAAGTGGAGATTTGCATAGGATGAATGACATGACAGTCTGAGACAGTGATACCACCAGAGCCCCGTCCCGGCATTCGAGTGGACTCAGAGACCAGAGCCGTCTTCTTACCATATTCTTTTATTCGAAGCAAGCGCATGCAGCGTGATACTCTGAGCAGGTAATATGCAGTAGCATGATGGGGTACTTGATAAAGAGTCTGAGGCAATGTTGAAAGTCCTTGCACTGGCACAGAGTGGATTCCAGTTTCCATAAGCATTGCAGAGCGAAATCTTTACAAGAGCAGTGTAGAACAGGGCCCAAAATATCAGGGTAAAACGCCCTGATTACCCTGGGGGTTGGCCGTTTTTTCAGGATTACCCTGCCAAAATCAGGAATGCGAATTAGTTGCCCTTCTCTTAAAAGAACATGTTTTTTTTCACCCTGACTGGTTTTAAGGTTAGGCTGACGGAATCAGGGCGTGGTGTACACTACCCTTTTACCGAAACTTTTCTAACGCGAATCAGACCACAGTCCGCTTTGTGACAAAATGTACCACACCCCCACAAACACCGGTTGTCGCTTGTGCCCACGCGCAAAACAATGCCTCGCTGTCGGCAACGCGCCATGTTGCTTCTTTTGTTGTTTCTCCTGCAGGGCTGCCAACTCATTCTCGAATCTTGCCATCCGTCGCCACCAGGGCTTCAGATTCGTTTTGGGCCACCCTTAGTAATCAGGGTTCTAGGTATAGTCAACCCTGATGCGTAGGGTAATTTTTTTGTTTCCCTGACAAATACAGGGTAAAAAAACAGTTAGACTGCTTGGGCAGGGTATTCTTAAAAACATGTTTTTCTAAACAATGCCAAAAATTCAAATTTAGTAGTTGGTAGTTCAGCTGGTTTGATTGCGCATTAGACTTGGAAGGTCAGAGGTTCGGATCTCGCTTATGAGATCATTTTGCAGGGAACTGTATAGTGTTTCGTCTCGCTACGGAGCACTCGGTACCAGTATAGCTGGGATTGTACACTGTACAGTCAGAGTAATGTGTTCCTTATGCTGTTTTTCAAAGGGTATTGAAAAACTTACACTTTCTGGCCTAGGGTAAAAAATCCACTACCCTGCCTGTGAAAGGGTAACTGAAAAAAAGCGGCCGCCAGTCAGTGCAAAAAGGGTATTTTACCCTGATAACGAGAGGCCTGGTCGCCACGCCCACCGCCAACACAGGAGAATTTGCTGTCAAGGACAGCTTCAAGCTGTCCTTGACAACAGAATGCAGCAGCAGTCCTGCCGTGCTGACCATACACTTCCCGCCTCGTGGAAGAAACGGCCCTTGAGAGGCAGCCAGGGGGTCGTTCTCTTCGAGGGGGCCTCTCGCTTGGCCCTCATTCTCAACCATGCTCCAACTTTCACCTCAACAATGCCCACTGGAGAGCCTGATCCACCTGATGGCGCGAGAAACGGCCTCTCTGTGCTGGGCGTTTTACCACGCCTTAGCGAGAACTACGCAGTGCCCATCGCTCAGCCGCCGCCTTGTGAGCCGTCACCTGAATGTGTGGTAGGAACGGTTTATCCGTTCGAGCCGCCAGACTCACCCACGGTGTGGGAGCCACATCCTGACATAGACTTGGTTCCCGGAGGAGGCTAGGGCTCGTCAAAGCCGCCTACTGCTTCGCCTTCGACGGTCAGCACCGCGCCCGTCAAGCGACCGCGTGTGGGAGTTACGTACAAGCAGCAGACGCTGTGGGGCGCCCCTCCTCCGAAAAACGCTACTTCACACAAGCGCCCTGCTCCTTCGGCCGACCCGACGCCACCCACCACTCTGACGGATGCTGAGTATGAGTCGGTGAAGAAGACGTTTGAGGGTCAGTGGGCAGGTAGCTTCAAGTGGTTACGTTTGCTCCGCATGTTTAACGGCCGTCCGTCTTTGAAGTGTACAATTTGTGTGAAGCATGGAGATCCACTGGCGCACACCGCGTACGGGGCGAAGGGCGAAGGCGCTCGAGACCTCCAGATCGGCAGCATCTGCGCTCACACCTCCTCCCATGCACACAAGGAGTCGTTGGAGAATCAGGAGAAGGCGGAAGCGGAGAAGGCGAAGCAGGCCTCAATCACACGATGGCAGGCTGCAGACGCTTCCACACGGCACATCATTCGGCTCCTCCACATCGCGCACTTTGTCTGTAAGGCCGATGCACCCATAGCGATGTTCGTCCCGCTGTGTTGGTTTCTGGCGAAGGAGGGGTTACCAGACCTGCCTCCCGCTGGCGGCTACGGCGCGTACTACACAGAGTAAGTGGCTGCTTGATTTGGTGTTTTTGCTGTGTTCTATATTATCCACTGTGGTATTTAACCACCCATGTTGTCCCCTGGCAGTTACGGTTTCAAAGAGAACCTGCGCGCCCTCTCAACATACCTTCAAGAGACACAGCGCCAGCACCTGCTCGAATCCCCGTGGATAGGGATTCAACTCGACAAGAGGACGGACCGTGTGAATGGGAAACACCTCATTCTATTCGCCATGTTCTTCCAGCGCACCACTGTGGTTACAGAGTTCTTGACTCTGATTACTGTTGACTCTTGTGACGGTGCCTCACTCACATCCGCTGTTGTGCAGTCCCTGACAGGTATCGGGCTGGATCTCCAGAAGATATCCAGCGTCGCATCCGATGGTGCCAGCGTCATGGTCGGCAAGAACCGAGGAGTCGTGACACGTCTTTGCATGCGCATTCCGCATCTGGCTTCAACACACTGTATCGTGCATCGGTAAGCATCACCGTTGTGTGCTCCGTGCTGCTCGCTTACCAAGTGCTGACGCTGACTGACAATATGTCGTGTTTCCTCTATGTACGGGGAGGCACTTGCTGCCAGTGATGCTGCAGAAGAGGTACCTGACCTGCTAATGATCAACCACGTCATGCGCGCCTTCGCTGACCACATCGGCCGCAGCAGCGTAGACTACGCAAAGTTTCAAGAGATGCAGCGGATTTTCTGCAAGACGAATCTCGAGGCGCAAGGGATCAGCGACACACGATGGCTCGCTCGCGGTGAAGCGGTACAACGCCTGCTAGACGTGCTCCCTGCGGCTATTGTGGTGATGAAGGATTACAACGCGGATCTCTACGAGGTGGTGACCTCGTTCAAGTTCCACTGGCTCATCTGCTTTCTTACGGATGTGCTTTGGGAACTGAACAGCCTTAACCTGCGATTCCAGCAGCGCCAGGTAAACGTCTTTGTTGCTGGCGTCTTTGTTGTCGCTTCCAAGCAGGTGTACTAACTAACTCGCAGCGATCCCCATGTGCAGGTGGACGTCACCCTTGTTGCGCACATCGTGCAGCAGACAAGGATGCGTTTGAAGACGCGGTATTCCCTCCGCGACCCTGCACACCATTTCGGCAGCGGCGAGAAAATGCAGCTTCCCGAGTTCATTCAGAGGCACGGGGCAAAGGACAAGCGCGAGATGAAGGGGAAAGGCGAAGACGGGGAAGGGAATCCCGTCACGTTTGAGTTCACGCTACACGAGCGCCCGCTGCCTGGACACGAGACGGAAGGCGATGTCATGGCGTGCGTCGAGCTGTCGATCAAGTACGTGCGCGCCATTGACAAGGAGCTGGAGTGGCGGATGCGCGACTTGGAGCTCCTGGAAGGCTCGAAGCTGTTTCGCACAGCCTCGTACCTGTCCGACGACACGAAGCGACTGGAAACCTTCAAGAAGTGGCTCGGCCAACTGCACAATTTATACCACCACAAGCTGCCTGGTAAGCCTTCTGTAGCGCTTGCACATGTTATGATGTTTGTTGTCACTTTCATGCCTGACATGAGGTTAACCATTGCACATCCTGCATACTGTGGCCTGTTGGAATAATGCCCCCCACCCCTACCCGTGTCTGCGAGCATCGGCTTAGCTTTCACCCGCACTCCGCCCCACCACAGGGTTCGACTATAAGAGAGCCCAGCAGGAGCTGTGGATGTTTACATCCACCATGTTTGCCCAGCACAACAACGAGGAATTCCATCAGGCGCTGACGAACATGCTGCGGGATGATGCATGGCATGTCTCCTTCCCCAACATCATGCGGATGTGGCAGTCAGTGGCCGTGCTGGCATTGAGCTAGGTTGAATGCGAGCGTGGCTTCTCGAAGCAGAATATGATCAAGACGTGGGGCCGTGGCAGCCTTGGCGACACAAGCCTGGAGCATCTGATGCGTTGCTCCCTGCTGCGGTACGATGTCGACTGGTTTGAGGTGGTCGCTATCTTTCGTGGAGAGAGGCTGAGGCGATCCACCAGGGTGTTCGACCCCACCAGAGCTTCATACACTCAGTTTGTAGAAGATGTAGGCAGTGGGGGTGGCACTGAGTAGGTGTGTAGTTCATGTGTGACTATTGTAGAGTGAATGGACTTTGGGTGTATTACTTTATTTCTGATTCTATTAAAACCGTAGCTCACAAAACTGTAACCAAAACAGAATTGGCCCGAAAATACCCTGCTCAAATCAGCCTAGTGCCAGAGTTACCCTGCTGAAACCAGTCTACGGAAAATTCTACCCTAGGGGTCTGTTCTAGGAGGGGCTGGTACCCTGATTAGTAAGAGTAGGCCTAAACCAATTTTGGGCCTTGGTGTAGAACGAAAAAGAAGCATAAGAGCTTGCTGTTTTTTCTGACCATTGGAGTCACCAAAAGCACTGCCTAGCAGAGCAAGCACTTCCTTCATTTTCAATCCTTCCTTCCAAAGTGGCCCCAAGGACCTTATTCACTGCTCTTTGCGCCTTCCCTTGCTCTTTATTACTCCTCAAACGCTGACCCTGGAATTCTCTAGGATTGTGCTAAACTTCACCCGTTACTTCCTGGAGAACTGGCCGCGCACGGCGCCATCAGGGTACCGCTTGGTGTGGATATTCCCATAGAACTGGCTGGGCTTATCCGTGACCTTCGTCAGATCCGCCACCTGCGAGAGATTCTCAATCACGCCCTCGCAGCGCCAGTCGTTGCGGCTCTTCTGCTTGTACTTGCAAGGCAGGTCCAGCAGCACGAGGTTGTTCTGCCCCTTCAAACCCGCGTGGATGTGCGTCTTGGTGGGCGGCATCTCGCCCTCCAGCTTCGACGCCTTCACTGAGTACTGTACCCACACAGCCTCGCCCTCCTTCCTGATCACACGTGGCACCACAGGTGTCGAACACATTGGAAGTAGGATATAATATCTGCTCTGCTGTTCATCGCAGGAAGAGTGGCAACGATTAAATTACATGTGCTTACTTTTTAGATTGGAAAGGAAAGGTACTTGAAGAGAGTAATTTACACAGCGGCTGACTCGTCAAAAAGTAATGCAAGGCGTGAGGAGCTTACCTGTAGAATTCGAGCTTCATGTACACGACGCCTTTCTTGTCACCAACGGCCTTCCTCACAGCTGCGGAGTCATTCTTGGGAACCTTATTGGTGCCAATCAGCTTCGCTGTTAAGGTGTCTGTCGGGTTGAGCGCGAGAGGGATTGTGAGTTCACTCAAAAATTGGGAACGTGAAAAGTGTGAAGGAGAGGGAAGGGCAATCGGCGGAATGGGGAAGCGCGAAGCACTGACCAGTTAATTTCGGGTCGTCGTGGTCTGCAAAGGCAACGGCCACCAGCACCGCAAAGAACGCTGGACGGAAACACATGCGATGGACATCGCAAAAAAGAAGGCTCTGTTTTCGGCTGTTTAGTGTGATCGAGGTGTTGTTTACCTGTGCTCATGGCTGTTTGCCAAGTGCCCCGTATATGGATTGGCGTTTAGCCAATTGTGACCCACTTACCGAGCCCCATGTAGAGCTTTGTAAACGACCTTTTGGGGGTACCACTGTAGCACTAGCCAAACTGGCGAACATGGTCGCAAATAGCTGTGTACAGCAGTTCGCGTCGGGAAACTGCGTGCCAGGTAAACTGGGGTGGGCTGCTACCTGTTGAAATGAATGAACAGGAATGGATGAACTAATAGTGAAAACAGTACAAGTACCTAACCCTAGAATTGTGTACCCCCTATAGGCTAACCCACTGTAGCCCAAACAAGCAGGACATATATAATGTTTGACACACCCCCATAGGCGAAGTGGGGAGAACTGGGGGTCACAAGACCAGTCAAGACAAAGCAAGGCAAAACAAGCTCAGGGAGGATCTCAAGGATACCACACAAATTCCGAGCACAAGCAAGTGGTCACAAGACTAGTTCACTTGCAGGTTTATAATAGAACAAGAGGTACAATGATTACAACCTAGTAAGAGTAAACAAGCAGCTATATATCTATACAGATCACAGTACAAACAAACTCAAGAAGTAAGCAAGTGAGGTCCACTAGGCACAAGGCCTAGAAGAGTGCAAAAGCGCTGATGGTCACAAGGCTGAAGCGCCTTGGTGAACACATCAGCAGTGTTGGCCTCAGAGGCCACGTAACGCAGACGAAGCTGACCACGCTGCTGCAGCTCTCGAGCAAGGAAGTAGTGCAGAGCAATGTGCTTCGTTCTGTGCTCCAGTCTGTGCTCCTCACACAAGGCAATGGCTGCCTTGTTATCGACGTACAGCACTGGAGGAGAACGAGGCCGCTCTCCAAGGTTGGTCAGCAAGTAGGTGAGCCAGCGTAGCTCCTGGGCCGCCATGGCTGTGGCGTAGATCTCAGCCTCACAACTGGAGCTGAGAACAGAAGAAGAGCGAGTAGAACGCCAAGAAACTGAACCAGAGCCAAGACTGAAGGTGTAACCCTGAGACGACCGCTGAGTAGCCTGGTCGTCTGCCCAAGAAGCGTCTGAGTGCCCGGTGAGAACAACTGGGACTCGCCCTCCAAGCACTAGCCCCATGCCCGACGTACTGCACAAGTAGCGCAACACCCTCTTAGCTGCATCCATGTGCTCCTTCCGGTGACGGCCGGGAGCGACATAGCGTGCAAGAATGCTAAGAGGGTATGCAAGGTCAGGTCAAGTGCAGGTCATCAGGTACATGAGGCAACCCACAAGCTCTGGATACGGGCCACTCGGCTCTATGGACTCATCCGAAGGCAGAGCTGAGAGCGAGTGACCGGTAGGCAGAGGAGTGGGCTGAGGCGAGGAGTACGTGAAGCGGAAGCGCTGAAGGACCTGCTGCACCATGTGTGACTGAGTCAAGGTGATGGTGCGGCATGCTTTGTCCCGGGTGATCCGCAAGCCAAGATAGCTTGTCAGTTCACCCAGGTCTGTGCACGTGTGTCTCTTCTGCAGCTCCGACTTCACGTGGGTGAGTGCCGCAGTGTCAACAGTGGCAAAAACCAAGTCGTAGACGTACACGAGGATGTAGAACGGCGGCAACGAGGCGTCGGTGCGTAGAAACAGCGACGGGTCAGCAGTAGAAGGCGCGAACCCAAGAGCCCCAAGTGTAGTCCTCAGTGTGTCGTGCCACTCACGTGGCGCCTGGCGGAGACCGTAGACTGGCCGTCGGAGGCTCCATTGGGTACCAGGAGGGAACGACCCAGTGAAGCCAGGTGGGCGGCGCAGCCAGATCTCCTCGTGCAGGCTGCCCTGCAGGAAAGCAATGCTGAAGTCAAGAGAGTGGAGCTCGTAGTCACGCTGAGCGGCGATGTGCAGCAGAACCCTTCGGGGTCGGGGAGAAGGTCTGGAAGAAGTCAACTCCCTCTCGCTGACTGAAGCCTCGTGCAACGTAACGCGCCTTGAAGATAGGCGGAGAGCCCGGCGCCCGCTTCACCCTGAAAATCCACATGCCACTGACGATGTTCGCCCCAGGCGGGGGAACGTCGTCAACGTAGGTGCCTGTGGACTTCCAGGAAGCCATCTCTGTGTCCATGGCTGACTGCCACTGAGAGGAGTAGGGACCGGCCATCGCCTCTGCGTAAGAGCGTGGGGTCGGGATGTCTGGTGCATCCGGGTCTCCCTCAGGGGCAACAAGCATGGACACGAGATGGGGCAAAGCGGCAGCAAAGCACTCAAACTCCTCCTGCCTGTCCTCAAGGACGTCAGTGCCAAGAGCACACTCACCCCCGACGGACGGAGGACAGACAGACTCAGACTCAGCAACTAGGCTAGCGGCGTAGTCTAGAGGACAGGTGGCAGCAAAGTCGACAAGCTCAGCAACTAAGGCAGACGCAGCAGCGGACTCAAAGGAAGGGTTAGTGAGAACAGTAGCCAGGAGACGCGTGATAGTAGGACTGGCAGCACGAAGGGAGTCTGACCCCGGGTCAGCAAGAGCAAGAAGAGAGGACGCAAGAGGAGACGGCAGTGGGACACGCTGTGGAGCAGTGGAGGGACGAAGCGCCATCCGGTGAGTGCCTGGGACAGCAGGAAGAAGCTCACGCGGGACACGACTACCGATGAGAGCTGCACGGACAGGCGACGCACGACGAGACTCAGGCGACGCAAGACGAGACTCAGGCTCACGACGCTCAGTAGGACCTCCAGTCGGACCAGTGTAAGGAGTAGGACCAGGAAGAGAGGAGATAGACGGTAGCTGCGACTGCAACTGGACAGACGGAGGACACCCTAAGGAGGGAGGAGGACAAGGAGGAGGGAGCTGACCAAGAACCTGCCGAAGGAGTGCAAAGAAGTACGGCCGCGACCGTGCAGCGACTCCAGAACCAGGGTCCTCAGCAACAGCAGCACCTCCAACTCCCGCGTCGTCAGCACCAGCAGTAGCTCCAACGCCCGGGTCCTCAGCACCAGCAGCAGCACCAACGTCCGGGTCCTCAGCACCAGCCGCAGCTCCAACGCCCGGGTCCTCAGCACCAGCAGCAGCACAAGCGTCGGGGTCCTCAGCACCAGCCGCAGCTCCAACGCCCGGGTCCTCAGCACCAGCCGCAGCTCCAACGCCCGAGTCCTCAGCACCAGCAGCAGCTCCAATGCCCGGGTCCGCAGCACCAGCAGCTGCGGGGTCCGCGACACGAGGCGCACCACTCCAAAGAGTGCAGCGCCGCTCGTACCACTCACGGATCCGCTCACGGGAGGGGAGCTCCCGACTAGGAGAAGAAGCACTAGCACCAGTCCCTGTAGTGGAGCGCACATCCTGCCACCAAGTTCGTAGAGAACGAGGGGAGGTGGAGACCTGACAGTGTGCCCAACGTGACCGCAGGACAGGGAAGGAAAGTGGAGGAGGTCGCAATGACCGGACCCCCAGAGGGGTCAGTGAGGGAGACAGCAACTGGCCGAGCAAGCGGCTCAAGGGCAGTGCGGTCACGAAAGAAGCAGCGAGAAGCACCTGAGTCCAGTCTGAAGGTGTGTAGTGCTGCAGTTGACTCAGTACCAGGGGGGGCAGACGCACAAGCACCTAGAGCAGGTGCCTCACCAGCACCTGGGGTAGCAGACACGCGAGTACCTGGAGCGGCAGACGCTCTAGACCTAATGCCCGGGTCGGGCGGCACACACAGGTACTCAGCACCCTCTCCACTAGTAGACATCACATACATAGCAGATAGAATAGCATCAAAGTCTAGAGCATACATATCAATCCCCTTCCTCAGGAGATCAACCCAGCGGGGCAGCTCAGTGGCCTGAGGGAACTGAACACGCCAAGCATCGTTGAGACGAGCAAAGCAGCGCTGTGTGGCGTGCGATCCCCCACACGGCTGACCAGTGCGGTCACCTGTGCGAATGACGTACGTGCAGCTAAAGCCACCCCCCCCCCCCCGTGCTGTGAGTACCACTCACGGACCTCCTGGGGCGACGGAGTGTGCTGCTGGCCCTGGCCACCGCCAGCGCCTCTGCGACCACCACCGCCACCGCCACCTCCTCGACCACCCCAACCCCTGCCGCCGCCGCGTCCACCGCCACCACCACCACCGCCTCCGCCCCTGCCACCTCCCCCGCCGCTGCCGCCACCACCCCCACCGCTACCACTAGCCCCACCAGTCCCACCACCACCCCAACCGCCGCCACCACCCCCACCACCGCCTCCCCCGCCGTCACCACCTCCTCCCTTGCCCCCTTTGCCCTTGCCGCTGCGGCGCCCGCTCGAAGCAGACGCAGTACCGACCTTCTCAGCACCAAGGAGGTCGACAGCAACAGCAGAGGCGACAGAGGGAAGAAGGGGGGAAGGAGAACACCCCTCAAAGAACGGGGTACGGGGCTCGCCACGAGAGGCACCTACAGCTACGATGCTAGCCTCAGCTGCCAAGAGTTCCTTCTCGAGGAGGGCAATGGTGAGCTCAGTGGGGCTGCGAGCTAGGAAGTGATCCTTGACAGCACGCAGAGTGTCACGGAGGCGGGTGACTAGGTGGTAGAGAGTGAGCCAGAGTGGGGGGGGGTGCGTGGCAAGGAACTCATCAGGCATGGCTGCACGGAAGCGGGCCTCACGAGTACGGAGGTGCGTGATGAGGTTAGCGACTGTGTGGAACGAGGCCAGGTCGGGAAACAGGTAGGGGAGGGAGAGACGGCCTAGGCCGGCAGAGGCAGGTGAGGAGTAGCGAGCAACGACAGCTGTGTACAGTGCCTGTGCAGTCTTGTGCTGGCCAAAGTGCTCGCGCTCATCTATCGGCAGGGAGTTGCAAATAGCGAAGCGAGCGTGGGCATCACGAGTCTGCCACTGTGAGCGGGCAGTGCTGTCAGCAGTAGCAGCAGGGGCAGTGACATGGCCTAGGGCGTGGTCGTACAGTGAGATGTCGTCCTTGGCTGTGAGCTGTAGATAGAGGTGCAGGTCGTCTAGCCAGGT